ACATACTATTGCCGAAGTGCGATGGACTTCTGAGTGAATTTTATTTGACTTTCTAAAGAGTCAAAATAGTTCACTCAATGGGTCTATTCGCAAAAATAGAGCTAGAGTGGTCTATCTGCAATTGGGCTATGGTAAAGGGGGTCCATCCGCAATTAACCCTTTTGATTAACATTCCTTGCCGATGTGGTTTTTAGGAGCAAGCGGGCTGATGATAAATTGGTGATAATAATTGGTGGGTTTGAAATATTGGCTCCCCGTACGAGCAAAGAGAGAGGCTGATTTCTCTTAATGGGAAGAAGTAGGGCTTTGATTGTGTAGAGTCTCTTAATGGGTTTCTAGGCCAAGTGGTGACTGCACAATGTAAATAAGAAAGTGGTGTTATCTACATGACTGATTTTTCTCATTTATTGATTTCCAGGAAACCCCCATCTTCAGAAGCAACCGAAATAGGAGAGTGATTTTGCTATGCCTAGTATTTGTGTATTCCTATTATTATTACTTTTGTGGGTTGAGAGGTGAGTTGGAGAAGGTTTAGGAAATATTTGTGTCCACACTTCACGTGTTTTATCTGAACAAAAGACGTGCCTATTTGTATTTGTTGATTAATTATCCTTTTCTGTCCACCTAGCAACTGAACTTAAGCATGGGAACCCATCTTAGCTGCACGTTGAAAGTTTATATCTTACACCAATCATATCAAATGTCCCTTTATTTTAAGTTACATGTGCTGGATAATTGCTTGTTTCTCATTTTCAAACTGTTCTGAGATAGATTGGATGTCAAGTGCTAAACTTACTTATGTTGCTGACTGATCATTCTCAATTTCACTCTAACAGGGCTAACTCTATATTTTGGACGCGGGCTTTGAATATTCCATTTCCTCACTCTTACGTGTTCCCTGAACCACTCGAAAAGCAGAGCAATGGTTCTGCACATCATAGCAGTGATTCTGATGCTTCTGCATCCCAAGAAATAGTTGAAACTTTTGAGCATGAAAACGATTCTAAAACTGAGGCAGTAAGTTCTTCCAGACAACTTTCTTTCCTTGTCTGGTCTGATTTTGATTAGGATACTCAATTTGCTCAATTTTATATAACTTAAATGAGTTATCATGTTGGGATTTGTATCAGTACACGGAACTCTCATGATCAGACTGATATTTATTTATTTGTTTTTTTCTGTGTTAGGTTGCTAAAGACATGAAGAATAATGGAAATGGTGATGAAACTTCCAGAACAAAAAATGCAGATACTATTTGGATTGAGGGTTTAGTTCCTGGCATCGATTTCTGTAACCATAGTATGTCTATTATCTTAGCATCAGCATATTTACCCTATTCTTTTTGTCAGCAGCATACCACTAGCATAGTTCTATTATCATATAAAAAGGATGAAGTTTCTTCACTGCCAAGGAAGCTACTTCTTATTCAAACATGAGAAAAAGTCACTTCCCATTTGCCCTTTTGTGGTTAATGAAATTTCTAGCATTGGACAGATATAGCCGCCTACAAATTTGGTGTTCTGAGTTTCTTTTATTTATTTTTTCCTTAGTCTTATGAGATCCTACTAGTTCTTAGTGACTGTTGAAATCTTTTCAGGTGTGAAAGCTTTGGCAACATGGGAAGTTGATCCAACTGGATGTATAACTGGAGTGTCAACTTCCATGTATCTCATACTTGGTAAATTTAGACATGACTTCATATATTTAGCTTGTCGTGTAGTTTAATGGGGTACATTTGTCTTTATTTGTACGCACAAACATCACCACTTCTGTTAAATTGTATTATGTCTTTGCTAAAAGAAAACAAAGAGTGATAATCTGAAAATAATCTGAATGTAAACATACTAGGAACACTTAGTTGTCTGCAACTCAATATTACATATTTAATTATTTGTTGGTATCTCATAATCTTTTATCTTAAAGTTGTCATAAAAGCAACGTTGTTCAAGGGTTATAAATGTAGGTAAGTTTATGTATACTTATAATACTGACATTATGTTGCTTATCAACACCATACAGACCTTTTGCAGCATGGATCAGATGGAATGAAAAACTAAACGCACGAAAGGTGACCAAATTTTGGGTTAATTTCATTAAACACCTGATTGAGCTATACATAACCTTCTATTCTCCTTAAGTTTGGAGACCCATCAGGGAAACCCCCTAAGTTCACAAGAACGGGGTGTCATACACCCATTACCTTTATCGGCTGGTTTTATATGACTGGCATGTGTTTAGCCATTTATTCTCTTAAGAAAATATCAAATATGGTTTATACAAATTTATAAATTTGTGGCTTGTATGAACCAATCTTCATATGAGCTTATTCTATGGGTACATAGCATTGTTTTAAATATCCCCGACATGGCCCGATATATCCTTTTTCCAGGCTTGCCGCAAACGATATGGTCTCTAAATATCATTTACCGCATTTTGGCTATTTTGGGCGTTATATCCCTAATGTAGCCGATATATTAGCTGATATGTTGGCCGATATATCATTTTATATGACTTGTCATAAAACAATATACCGTGTTTGGTAATTTTTGGGCGAGATATCATGTTTTCCCATTATATCAAATGACGTTTTGACCTACAAATAAATTTGACGATATGTAGCAATGTTGATTTGTACTCTTGCTTATTTTATAAGGTTGATTAGTGATCCTAAACATATATTATTTACATTTTGTATGCTTAGATTTCATTAAGTATGTTGAGATTACATTTTAGTACATTATACCATATATGCAAACATCCGTTTTGTCATTCCGATATTTACCACGTATCCCCGGTATTTCTCCGATATCCGTAATCCGATATGAATTTTGACCATCCGATATTTCTCCGATATCCGATATTTAAAACCTTGGTACATAGGGCTCATGTCCAGGAAGTCCTTGATTTGCTGGGTTGTCTTGTAGGAGTTGCAATGTTTCTGTTTCCTTTTTGGGGATTAAATTCCTTGATGGCTTGCCTAATCTTGTAAAAATTCCCCATCTTGTTCAGTTTGTTCAAATTACCACCTCTTAAATTGCATAGGCATACAGTAACTATATATATATTTTTACTAGAGTTCTCACAAATAGTATGCTAAAACAAAAGTGATGAATTTTAATAAAAGAATTCTGAAAAGGTAGATTTTCCAATTTTGTATACTAATTATGTGCAATCACTACCGGTTGTTCAGAATAAATCTATTATTGTACAAGCAATCAAAACCAAGGAAGATAATGGAGCCCCTAAACTAAGGAGCATGCATCATTTGATGTAGGCATGGTATATTCCAAAGGAAACATCTTTCAAACAAATAGATAGCAACAAAAGAAAGAAAAGATAGTTGCGTGTAGGCTTTAAATCTCACATGGCAAGAAATAGAATCGAAATTGGAAAATTGAAGATAACTAATTTTACCTAATTTTTACGTAATGCCACAGAAAAAGAATTCTAGGGAAATTCATAATTAAGATAACAACGCGTTAAAATTGAATGTTTAATTATGGAAGTGAATAATTCAAGGAACTAGTTCACTTATTAAGAGAAGGCAAATCTATAACATTTACAGAATCATTACTTTCAAATGTTTTGGTCAGGAGAAACCTCAGAGTTTGGGCTGTCTGTTATTTGTATACATTACTACATACTCTAGGTCAACTATTGTATGGGAAACTATTAAATGCTAACAGATGATTAATTTAACTCGATGATAGTGATTGCTAGGCTTAGATCGGTTATGATGAACCATATTAGTTTAATATGAACAATTAAAACAAATGCATGATATCTGATATTTGAGTGTTTGAGCTACAATGTTAACAACCAAACAATCACCGACCCCAGAAGGGAAAAACCTTGTGTGGGAACCCACACCAGAAATAGAATATGGTCTTCTTATTTGCCATTCCTCCAGCTTATATATATAATTCGAGTCCTTGATCCTCAAGGACTCTTTTCGTCAAATTTAAAATTGACTCTCTATGTGAACTTCTTGGGGAACAATTAATAAGATTGGCTTCTCGAAGTAGCAGTAATTCTTCGTTTCGACCTTAAAATATCAGACTCTTGTCTGGAAGAAGGCTTTAAAAAGATAAGTTCTCCTATAGTTTGATTTAGTGACAGTACGCAAACAGTGTGTCGCTATCTCATGTTTACATATGTTGTGTACTCTGATCCACTACTTGGATTGGCTTGATGTTTTGACCCAAGCTACTTTATAATAATATTATCCTTTTCATACTACCTTTGTAGATTTATAATGGTTTTTAAATGCCCATCACTTCAGAGTTTTTTATTTTATCTTAGCCTTATGAATAGATTTTAATTACTTATTAAGCCACTTTCGCGACAAGACTAGAACCTATTCGTGCGATCAATTCATCAAATCAATCAAGTGGATAAGGTGCCACTAAGGTTTGGGTTAGCGGTGAAGGTGGGGATTGAGCTATTGGAAGTAGTCAGTTCAAGATCAGGTGATGGGCTTTAATAGAAGCATGGCGACAGAAAGCTCTAGGCAACCTAGGCGTTGGACCGGCGCCTAAGCGGGAGCCAAGGCGTTTTCTTTTTTTAATTAAAGTCAATGTAATTGAAAGCGATGAACACCACTAGGTTCTAAACTGGCGCCTATCGCCTAAGCGCTAGCCTAGGGCGATTTCTTTCTCTATTTAAGTAGTGGTGGAGGAGGTTTTGCTGAAGGTCGGAGGAGACAGAAGAGGTGTTTGCAGTCAGTGGAGGAGGCCGGGGAGTTTGGAGGAGGATAGAGGACGTGGAGGCAGAAACGGTGGCAATCACGGGGTGCACTCCACGTAAGCGGTCTCCACTTTCCTAGGTGCTCTCAAGATCTTGATGGTTAGAGCCTAGGATGCCCAGGTACTACCTAGACATAGGCAGGAGCCTAAGTGGACTAGGCAGGAGCTTTTTAAAACATTGGATAGAAGGGGGGTGCTTAGTTGTTGAGATTTTGTTTCATGGAGTGCATACAATTTTATTAAATGTTTTTTTAAGTTTAAATTATATTAGATCTTTCATTTAACACAAAATATGATGTTGGGACATGATTTTTCCAATTGGATCGGATTAAAGGATGTCCGTAAACTATACCTAGCAAAGGACCAAACGTTGATCTTTCATAACTTACAAGTTATGCAATGGCGGAACATTTCAGTTGCAGTCCGTCACTGAGTGTACTTTAGTTTAATAAATCTCATGCAATGTTTCTTGTTCCCATGTCATAACTGATGTAATCCTATAGCATATCCGCTTAGCTTGTTTAGCAATATGATAGTATGAAAGATTACATCTATGACTAAGCACTTGGCTAAAAGTTGAAGCAAATATTCCAGGCTCACGTTGGGATGTATCCACCTTAACGCTCAAAATTCTGTCAATAGTGTTTTTAGCAACGAAAGGATAAAAAAATGATTAACTTGTTGAATGTCAACTTAAACTGTTATTTTTTATCTAGCTTTCATAACATAATTTGTACTTGGCAAACATATAAATAACTGATTGTTTACACTTCTCTGAATCCCTTATTTCAAATTGTATCGTTGTTCCCTTTTACATGCAGCTGAAAAGAGCACTGCTGAAGCTGAGAAAGAGATAAGCATCAGTTATGGTAACAAGGGAAATGAGGTACTTTATCACGCTATGGTGGCATTTATTTATTAAAAATTTGGAATACAATAAAGTCGTTTTGTTAGCACATATTTTAGTGGAAATTTCATTTTATTTCATTATGTGCACCACATTTTCCCAAACTCTGAAGCAGGAATTTGCATATCAGCTTTATGATCTTAGTGAAGCACTTGCTACCTTACATTATATTTGATATAGAAATTCTTGAACTGTAGCTCATCATGTTTTATTAACTGTTTTGCTTAATATCAAGCCATTGTTAAACCACATTGGAAGATCAGGTTACTTGAATGACTGCTCCAATTAGTCTTAGTGATTCATTTTTGATGTTTTGATCAGTAAGACCTGTATTGTCAGCATTATCTATGAGAGTTCTTTTTAAGATGTCTTTGAACTGATTTATTCTTAATGCTCATTTGCAGGAATTGCTGTACCTTTATGGATTTTGTATTGATAATAATCCAGATGATTTTCTCATGGTAATAAATCCTTCCAAAAGTTTTATCTGAGACTTATGTTTATTATTGCACATCAGCTGTTTCTTCATACTAATGACTCGTTTGTACATTTTGTTTCATTGAATATATGATATATTATAATGTTGCACTGGATTATTTGACTGGTAAAATTTTCAGGTCCATTATCCTGTGGAGGCCTTCTCAAAGCTTCCATGTTCTGATACCAAATCAAAGCTTTTAGAAATACAGGTAGTCTTTGAGTCAGCATTGCTCCGTGGTGCTCTTGGTCAGTTTATCATATGCTATGACTACTAATTATATTATATTCCTGAACTAGCATATACATGTTCACTTTTGACCTGGGTTCTTTTATCCAGTTAAATGGCGGTTTTCTTCCTCTTACTTTTAGATGTGTTCTTGCCTGCAATAATAGTTTCCTTATTGCAATCCAAAAACTTTTCAGTGTTCTACATTCATAAAACTAAGATTTCAAGTATTGAATGGTGTGATCTGGCCAAAACATGTAGATCCCGACATATTTGCTAATAACAGCTCATAAATTGCAACAAGTGTACTACCTACAACTCATTTGGGCATAACTGATGGGAATAATCAGAGGCTGTTACGTTTCTGTTATGGTCTCATTAACGCTCTATTTTCCCAGTTCCCTAATTGAGAAAAACATTATTGCTTTCATTGTTCTCCTGTTAATTCTCTTGAGTCTGAGGCTCTCATTTCTTTTCCTTTCGTCTTCTGGAAGGCTATTACTACTTTCTTTTCTAACTGTACAACAGTTTCATATATTGAGGTCATCCTTTTTTATGGTCACATACATGAGTTTCTGGCAAATTGGTGAAAATTTATCACTACAAGCGTCCTTTGACTTGGCTGACTGCTCAATGCTGGCAAATTGGCTTCAGGATGAATGTCTTGATAGCAGGGTGGTGATATCTACCTAATTTTTTCATTAGTACCTATTAAGTGTAACTAAACTTTCTTTGTTAGAAACTGATTCTAACACTACTTTCAGCTACATCCAATATATGCAGTATTGCATGGGTAAGCCATGCTCTGTTGTTTGTCCCAGTATAGCATATTTGGAAATTTATTAGCCTGGTAATGTGCCCTGTCTATAACCATTTTTAGTTTTTCCAGTCCATGCATTGTCATTTTTATATATTATGTAAATATTATAGACGCAACATCTTTAATTCGTCAAGTTGTTCGAGATTAGGTATCATTTGGCTTGTACATCTTCTTTTGTGAATTTGACAGCCATGATGAGGAAGAGAAGATTATGCATCATACTCTCCAGTAATGTCAAGTTCTATGAGATGCAATTTCAATTAAATAAGTAGGTGCTTAGTCTTGTCTCCCATCTGGCACTATATTTTGTATTCATCCCTAAATTTACTAGAGAAACCAAAACATTAATTAATGATGACACTAGACTCCACCAGCCTCATTTTCTGAGCAGTCTAGCTAGAGCCCCAATTGAATTGGGTTACGGCGCAACCCATAACCGGACAGGTCAAGTAGACCTGCCAGTTCGTATCTAGCCTATTCTTAATTCAATGTTATTTCTATATTTTTTACATCAATTCTAAATCTAAATAGATTTCTGATTAATATGATATATACCTGACCTAAAATTATTTCTAAATTCTGATATTAGTATTTTAACGAACAGGTAACATGATTTGTCACTTATTATGATTTTTATTTTAGTTAATTAATTACACATTAAGATTTATTTCAAATATAGATATAAAATTTTGGTCTAAATTTTGAATTTATTCAAAAATTTAGGGATTCTATTTTTAGCTTACATTCGATTTAGAGGACTGATGTTTCTGACAGATACTTTATCATTTTATTATGTCTTCAAAAATAGTTTTTTATTAATGTTTTTGATATATCAAAAAAATTATGATTATTATTATTATATAGTTTAAAGCTATAATAGTTATATGTATGGATAGAAGAGCCTTTTCAAATCTCTATTAGTAACATTACTAATTGTATGGGTTATCTTTTAAATGATGACTGGATCCTTAAATACACTGCAAGCCAAGCTGAATATCTGATGCCCTTTTGCTCTGATCATTCCCCAGGTCTGATTACAATTAATGATGCTAATTTTGTAGGAAAAAATGCCTTTCAAATTTTTTAACATGTGGGCTAAGCATCCAGGTAAAAAGCCTTTCAAAATTTTCAACATGTGGGCTAAGCATCCAAACTTCCTGGATATGGTGAAAACTATTTGGAACAAGGAGATTAGAGGATATAACATGTACAGGCTTTACACCAAACTCAAAAACCTCAAACCTGTCCTTAGGGATTTGAACAAAAAACACTTTATGGATATTGGTCAGCAAGTGATTAGAACAAAATCGGAATTAAATGATATTCAAGTGAAGCTAAACTCTGATTTATTCAACTCTGAGCTGATAAAAAAAGAGAAGGAATACATCAAGAAATATGCCAACTTGCTGGATTGTGAAATTTCTTTTTACAAGCAAAAGGCTAACATCAAATGGGCATTGAATGCAGATAAGGGCTCACAGTTATTCCATTCAGTAATGAAGAATAAGAGGCATCAAAACAAAGTTTTAACTATATTCTCTGAAGATGGCTTTAGAATAACTGATATAGATGGTATAACAACTGAATTTGTTGACTGCTATAGAAAATTGTTTGGTAATGAGAAGGATACTTCTGCCCCTGATCCTAGAGTGATCTCTAATGGCCCGATACTTACCTCTTCACAATGTGCTGAACTGTGTTCTCCTGTATCAAGAGATGAGATAAAGCAAGCTCTATTTACAATGTCTGATAACAAGGCTTCTGGGCCTGATGGATTCAATGTTTATTTCTTCAAATCTGCTTGGAATGTCATCAATGAAGATCTATTTCTGGTTGTTGAAGAGTTTTTTACATCAGGTAAACTCTTGGGCACTTTCAACACTATTTTCATCACTTTGGTACCAAAAATTCCTAATCCAAATACTGCAGCTGACTATAGACCTATCTCCTGTTGTAATATCATATACAAATTTATCTTAAAAATCATTGCTAGTAGGTTGCAAAAAGTAATTGGCTACCTTGTCAACGAAGCACAAAGTGCTTTTGTTAAAGGGAGGCTTATTTTCAGTAATTTCTTACTAGCACTAGAGCTCATCAAACAATATGATAGGAAAAATAACTCCCCCAGAGCTATCCTTAATGTGGATTTGAGAAAAGCTTTTGACATCATAAGTTGGAAATTCATAAGAGCTATGTTGATGGGTTTGGGGTTTCCTAACACTATGACTGACTGGATAATGGAGTGTATCTCTACTCCAAAATTCTCTTTAGCACTGAATGGTGGGCTACATGGATACTTTCATGGTGCAAGAGGACTAAGGCAAGTGGATCCACTATCTCCCTATCTTTTTGTAATAGGGATGGAGTACTTATCAAGGAAGTTAAGTTCCTTAAAAGCAGATAGGAGTTTCAGATTCCACCCTAAATGTTCTAAACTGAAAATAACACACTTGGTGTTTGTAGATGATTTGTTGCTGATTAGTAGAGCTGACATGAGCTCAATTATGAGAATTTCTGCCTGCTTCCATGAATTTAGTCTGGTTTCAGGGTTGGAAACAAATTCTGGTAAATGCTCTATCTACTTAAGTGGCATTGATGTCTGTCTTAAAAATCAGATATGTGATTTCCTGGGTTTTAAAGAGGGAATATTTCCTATGAAATACCTGGGCTTGCCTTTAAATACATAAAGACTCTTATGTATGGACTGTTCTTCCCTTATTGGTAAAATTCAAGACCAATTCCAATTTTGGCAGAAGAATGGAAAATTGTCATATGCTGGAAAGCTTGAGATGATTAAATCAGTCATTTTGGGCATTCAGACTTTTTGGATGAGCAATTATATTTTGCCAGTTAAGAGTCCTAGAGAAGATTGATAGCCCTTGTTCTCAATTCCTTTGGAGCAATAAATTTCATTTGATTTCCTGGGAAACAGTTTGGCCAAGGGAAGAAACGAGGTGGATTAGGAATTTTTTCAGCAAAGGAATGGAATTACGCTACAGCTGCAAAGCTTTTATGGATGGTGCACCTTAAGAAAGACCTATTATGGATCAAATGGATATATGAAAACTACTTACAAAATCAAAATATTTGGACTGCTCAACCAAGACTGAATGATTCATGGATGTGGAAAAGACTTCTTAAAGTGAGAGATATATTGGTTAATAAGTTTGGAAGTGTTGAAAGCATGAAGAATACAATTAATAAATGTTCTAATGGCAAAGTTATTCTTTCTGCCATGTACAGTTACTTGATTCAGCCAGCTCCATTGGTGAATTGGCATGATACAGTTTGGGATGGTCTCCTATATCCTAAGCACTCTTTCACTCTATGGCTGACATGTCATTCAAGGCTACTAACTAAGGATAGACTTTGCCGAATGGGGATGTTAAGCACAAATCAGAGCAATTGTGTGTTGTGTTAATGGAATCAAAGTGAAACAATAAATCACATTTTCTTTGAGTGTCAGTTTTCGGCTGAAGTATGGAATAAGATAATGGAATGGTTGAGATTTAAATGGAAATCTTGTAATTGGAATCAGCTCCTTAACTGGTATTCTTGCAACCTAAGAGGAAAGGGCCCCATGAAGAAACTAAAGAGAATGGTGTTACCGATGACAGTGTACACAGTCTGACAGGAAAGAAATTTTCGGATCTTTCAAGGCAAGAAGAGGGAGGCTAAGCAAATTGTTCTTGTTATCAAGTTTTTAGTCTACACGAAAGTTTTGAATGAGAACTCATATGTTCATATAAGAGATCTCCTTGAGAAAATGTAATTTTCTGTTTTTGGATTACCAGATTCTGGTATCTAGATATTCTACAAAACTGTACATGTTGGAAATGAATAAAAATTAGTTCATTTACCAAAAAAAAATTTGTAAGTGTTATCAAGGCGTAAGGCGCAATGCAGACCGCGAAGTCCTCTTATGCGCATCATGTGCAAGGCGGAAGGCGATGTGCGCACCTCAGTGAAACGAGGTGCATATCCCAAACAAAATTATTTGATAGATATATCAAAGTAAACAAGCAACATGTTTATGGTTTTCAGTAAAAAAATGTCAAGATAATAACTTCACCTATCAGATCACAAAATAAGATCTTAGTTTATAATCTTAGGACGAGTTAAAAGGGTCTTAATGTCAACTTAACTCTACCCTTCCATATTTTCTATAATTAATCACGTTGAAAAATAAAAGCTCATTTGCTATGAAATCGTTCATTCATAATTACTAACATTATTAATAATTAGTGTCATAATATCTAGAATAATAGTTTGTGATTTCTTAATCAATGTTCATAGTCTTTCAGATATACAAATAGTAACAATAAGAGAGAAAAAAAATGAAAAAGTGAGAAAAAAGATGATGGAGTAGACAATAATATGGGGCAAAAGAATGAAGAGAATGAGGAAACAAAAGCAAAACAGAAGGCATGGGAGGAGGATTAAAAAGATGTACTCGAAACAGTTAGAAAATGGTGAGGAGTAGTGAGGCGCACAAAGGCGCATCGGGGCGTGAGCAAATATTTAAACAAGTTAGAATCATTTAGCTCCTTCATCAGAATTGGAGACATACCTCCTTTAATCTGTTCTGCTTTCAGCTAATCCTTCACGGCTTCACCCACGTGTGTTGAACTTGTAGGGTCTCCAAACTCATCCTACACTTACAAAATCCTACGACATGAAGAAATTACAAGCCACTGTGAACACTGGAATTTATAATATATCATGCGTCATTGAGAAAGTGTTGACAGTTTGAGAGAGAATTTGTAGAGCATGCTTGCTAGAAGATCTTAGGTTGAGAGCTCGGAGAATACTAGAGAAGAGGAGAAATTGTTGTTTGGTATGGCTTGAAGTGACGATATTGGGAACCCCGGGAGTGTATTAATGAAGAGAACACATTGTAAAGGCTAATTATTACTATATATGTAAACAAGCCCAGTGGCCACCGCTGATATTACTATGACCATTGCCATTTAGTTGCAATTGGGCTAGCACATGAAGACTGTCTGCCACTTTAGTATCTCTTCACAGCCTATTCATTATCTAAATGTAGCATGCATCACTTAATCAGAACATGTACCACTTTGGCTTTAAGTATTTCTGACCCAAATTTTTGGGATTTTATTCACCATATTTATAGGTACCATGCAGGTAATGGGAGTAACACATATATAATCTTAGCGTAATATTGAAAGCACATACATTTTCCTTGTATGTAGCATTGTCCTATTTTGACTATTTAAACCCATAGTTGATTGTGGTACATTTCATTATTTTGCATTTCTTAGATTTTTCTTCTCAGAACAAAGTACCTAAAGGGGATAGAACAAAGACGAGACCTCAAAAAATGCATAACACGGTCCAAACCTGAAGTTTTTCACGAATAATAATTCAATATAGTACCTGATTTTCTTTGTCTTGTTCATAGACATTAAGCAAACTGACTGATGCTTACAGAATGCTGAACTAAGATGCCTCTTGCCTAAAAGTTTGCTTGATCATGGATTCTTTGCTGCTCGTCAATTGCATGGTGAAGGAAGCGAGAAAAATTCAAGTTTTCAGGTCCACAATTATAGCTGGAGTGGTCAGCGTAAGGTTCCTTCCTATGTGAATAGGCTGGTTTTTCCTCAGGAGTTTTTAACAGCTCTGCGTACCATAGCATTGCACGAAGATGAGCTTAACCAGGTCTCTGCACTGCTAGAGAAGGTAATTGTATTTTTTAAATTTGAATATTTTTCATTAAATGTATCCAATTTCTGATGTTCGTATTTTTTAAAGTCATTACATTAACACTGTATATAATTTTCAACAAGTTTATGATTACAGTATTCCATTGTGCATAATAATTGTGTGCACTTAGTTCTGCAGACTGCCTCTTCTGCAACCTAATTAATTTTTACTTATGTTAAACATTTCTAGAGTATATGACTATTAAATAGGTAAACTTTGGTGATTCTCTGACTTCAAGACAGATATGTTTAATTTGATCTGAATGAACCGTTTTTCGTATCAAGGTTGGAACCGAGTTGTTGCGCTTTTAGGGGCTGTTTGGATGCTTTTAGGAAACTAGAGTATTTATGACACAAAATAGAAAGTGGTTATCCACCTCATCACTTTCTATTCGAGTGTTTACATTGTTTGGTTAGGAATCTTTGTGAATCCTAAAATAATAGTATTACATTGTTTGGATAGTATAATGTAAACTAGAGTATTTATGACACAAAATGGAAAGTGGTTATCCACCTCACCACTTTCTACAAGGTTTTGACTTTTTTATTATTTTTTTGGACACATTTACGACATTGTGTCAGCTTTCCAACAAAATCACTCCTAATTTTGGTGATTTTGCTTTCGGTGACACCTCATCAAAAGGTGTAAGCTTTTCATGTAAAAGAGAATTTAAACAAACAATGTAAAGTGATGAAAGCTGACATTGAGACCCATTTTTTTACACTTTCCATCCTTTTACATGGTAAAAACATACAACCAAACAGCCCCTTAGACACTGGCTGGGTGACGGTAGTTAATGCATTTAATATATGAAGTTTTGTCTAGTGGAATAAGTGCAAAATGTATGATATTGTTATTTGATATATATCAAAGTAATCTTTGTGTTGTTTTAAACAATTGAATCATTACCAATGAGGCATTGCTAAGACCATTAACCCAGAAAAAAATCAAAAAAATCAAAAAATCAAAAAGTAAAAAATATTAAAATAAAAAAGGAAAAGAAGATTAAGAATGATTGCATCTTAATTTCTGAATTATGTTTTTTATCAAATATATTCAGATGCCATCCAGGATACTAAATCCATAATTAGGAGAAGTAGTCTGAAAATGTGATATTTGTCTTATTTAGTTGTGCTTGAACAAGTTCCATATGGGATTGGACATTAGATTGCTGACCTAGATGATTTAACCAAAATGAACAACTTAATTGTGAACATTCCTTATGATATACCCAATCAGATTCTCTCTCTATATTTCGTTACAATAGACTTAAGGTTCTAATGATATGGACTTCATATATATATATATATATAAAATTTTGAGGTGATTAATATGTGAGCATAGTCCTACATCAGATAAGATAAGAAAGAGTGATGAATTTAAATAGGAGTTTGGGTCAATACTTAATAGCTATAGCTTTTGGGTTAAAATTAATTCTTAACTTCTGTTTAAGGCCCATCAACTCTAGATTGGGCCCGATTTCTCCCCTAACAATGATATCAGAGCTAAGGTTATGGTCCAAGTAATTAAAAAACCGATGATTTTTGATATCTTCAATGTGAAGCCTGAAGGTGTCGGGAGGATCCACGTATGCCCGTAGGAGTGATATAGTCTAGTTAGCCCCATGAGTGAAGTGGTGGGAGTGATATAGTCTAGTTAGACACCATGAGTGAAGTGGTGGAAGTTCTTACGGATGTTTGATAGCTATGTGTTGAATGCATGGTCTGATTAGCCCACGAGTGAAACGGTGCAAAAGTTTGTGGATTTGTTAGCCCACGAGTGAAGTGGTGCAAAACTCAGTGAATTCAGTGAAAGATTGAATTATAGTTGAATTGAACTATACTCACAAATTAAGGGAGAGTTGTTGAGGTGATTAATATGTGAGTATAGTCGCACATCGGATAAGATAAGAAAGAGTGATGAGTTTAAATAGGAGTTTGGGCAATACCTGATAGCTATAGCTTTTGGGTTAAAATTGATTCCTAACTTCTGTTTAAGACCCATCAACTCTAGATTGGGCCCGATTTCTCCGCCAAAATATATATTGAATGCCAAGATTTCCCAACTTCTTATCAAATTATAGAGTCTAGTCTTACTAGTTTTTGGAATGAGATCAAGTGGGATGAGCAAAGTAATTGAAAATATTCAACGTGGTTGGAAGAGTTGGTCTTAGGCCATTTATTAGCATGCTTATTGAGCACTTTCGCCTCTAGGTGGGAGCTATATACTGTTTATTTCTGATATAACAAAAATATTATACCATAGTTTATCATGTCATGTCATGATATTTTTGTACAAATTACAGGTATGAAATATGGGGGTTGAAGTGAACGAAATATTTAACAAACAATATGGTTATTACTCATCCAGATATTCGCTCGCTCATATATTAGGTATTTTTTGAAAATTTTAATTAGTTCATATTGAGCCATAAACTTGAATGGAAAAGGCAATTTAGAGGTGAATTCATCAAGTATGATGCTTTGGAGGGTGTTTTTACAAATGTATACAATTTGGAGGGTCTATATGCAAAATACTCCAAAGAATAAGAAAGGCAAAAGAAGTGAACTCAAGAGTTTAAACCAAGGACCTTGATTTTGGAGCCAAAGCACCCAACAAGCAGGCTAATGAACATTCAAGAAGCTTTATTGAATGGAAAATATATTAACGAGTTGAATATGAATATCATTGTGATACCCATGCCGATTTCAAATCCGAATTCAAATATTTAAAATTCAACTGACTTCTGATTTGAATACACTGATATTGGATTCGATTTGGTAGTTTTCCACCCGTAATGAAATCCCGAAATCAAAAGCGACTATTTGAGGAAAAATTTCTTGAAAGAATCAAATTTTGTCGTCCTCTTGTCATGCTTTACTAAATTTGTTAAGTTAACGATAGGATTTTAGGATCAGTGGGATGATAAGTGATTGTTCTTTCCCAGTTCTTATCTGTCTTTCTTTGATTTTTGGATCAGTGGGAAGATGAGTGATTGTTCTTTCCCAGTGCTTTGCTGTCTTTCTTTCTTTTGTGACTCACATAAGTTTTTCCACTATAACAGATGCTTCAGCTAGTGTAAATCAATAATTTTAACTTCTGTTACTTACATTATGCTTATTGATTTTCAAGCTTGTTGAATCTGACGACGTGAGAGAGCCTACTGATAAAGAGGTGGAAGCAGCTATCTGGGAAGTTTCTGGGGATTATGGAGCCTTGCAGTTGCTCGTGGATCTTCTTTCAATGAAGTAGTAACTCATTTTTACTCTTTTACTTCCTGTTGCTTTATGTTGTAGCTTGTAATTAAGTAGAAAACTTATATCTAATTGCAGTTAGATTTAAAAGCTTAGCAGTTCGGAGCTTCAGTCATCAATATATTTCCTTTGTTCCGTATATTTGCAAAGGATGGTGGGCAATCAAAAGTATGGATAAGATTTTGTTTGCTCCAGTTGATGGCCTTACTAGGAATAAATAAGGTACCATTGTGTAAAGTATCCTGGTTTTGGCCCTTGGACAGAGAATGACACGTTAGCGGTACAAAATTGTATCTCTCAACCATCACCACAATTTTGGAGTTTTGGTGCATAAGAATGAGCTTTAAGATATATGTTACTTGTTACTTGCCAAAATATTAATAGTTGCTCCAGGGATAAGAATACATACGTAGGAAAAATTTCATGTAGCCAATCCCAACCCCATTGGATAAATTATTTGTTATTAGGAAATAATGTGTATGAGGTGGTGGCTCATTTTGCTAAATGAGCTACTAACCATGTGTGACGCCCACCTTAAAAGTCACATCAAAAGGTGTGGACCTTCATCCTACTATCTCTTGGTAGCTCATTTTGCTAAATGAGCTGCCAGCTCACAGCCGTCAAACCCTTGTTATTATTGTATCTTACAGGTTATTTAAATAATTATTTTTTCCTTTAACGCTTTAAATGCCATAACTGATGCTCAAACCGAGGAGACTAGAACTGTTAAAACTGCTCAGACTGAAACAATAGCTCCACAGGGCCAAAATTTGATAACTAATGTTATAATCTTCCTCTGAACTCTTTGAACAATAAAACAAGTATTCGTAGTATATCTAATAGATGAACTTATATCTTCTTTAAATAATAAAACTAGTATTTGTAGCATATCTAAGATATGAACTTATATCAATCAAGTCTCTACTAAAGGAATTTTCTGATATTTACTGAGACGTTTTCCCTTCGTATTATATTAATCCTTAGTATTTGCCCATTTTATAAGTTTCATGGAACAGGTCATTGATCATCACTGCAATGTTTCTTCAGTGATTTAATGCAGCTGAGTTTCGGCAAAGCGAATGTTTTACCATCTTATATTTTTATTCTATCAAGCATCCCCTGCTGCAACTAGTCCCAAATTGAAGACTTTAAGGCGTGTTTCTGTCTCTAGGTTGCAATCAAATTGCTTGGCTGTTGAGAGGTAGAACTGAAAAGAGGATGGACACAAAACATATAGATTACGGAGCATGACAACTGGAGTATAAGATGGGAATTGCCATGGAGGAAGCAGCATATAATGCTGTTGCTCAGTCATTCTGAAACTTTAACATGTGTTTTTCCATTTTGTACTCTCTTTTTTGACAATTTATAGTGACTCATATTTATTGAACTTTATTTAATATACAACTAATGCCAAAATGACATTATTTATTGTTGTTTTTGAGTAACTCTACTACACATTATGTTTCTGGCTGCTAGGATGATGGAACTTGAAGAGGGTTCTGGGACCCAAGAGTCTGATGCACAACTTCTTTCAAATAGCCACGTTCTGGAGTTTGAAGATCAGTTTAGGTATGCCTCAATTTTCTGTAAATGTTTATCCTGGCAATTTCTTTTTGTGTGAAGAAGTTATCAATGTTATAGTTGTCCCACATTATTAAGGCACTCTTTGTTTTCTGAATAGTTTTCAACACTTAAACTAGGTTTTGATTAATGATACTTGGGGTCGTGATTTATTTGGATTCTTCCACATAGTTCTTTTTTTTTTTTGCTTCTTTTTTTTTCCCACTGTCCGCGGGCAAGTATTGTGATGGTTATTATTTATGTATGTGTCTTTATATGCCTATTTAATCTTAGTTATTCGAATCCGTTATTTGTATTTTAATATGATGGTTCAAGGCATATTAAGATCCAAAACCTATGTTCCATGGGTACGGGTGCGGGAGCGAACACAGACACGTGCAGATGCAGGACACGACAAATTTGTAAAAAATAGGATACGGGGACACGACAATATATACATATTGAAATTAATAATTTATATGAGATCGATACTTTTTTTTACCATTCACATGTTATGAGAACTAAAATCCCTACGATGTTTTTATGCTTCTTTTATTGAGTAGATTATAAATTGAAAAACCACTCGGTTTTTTAACTAGATACCCAAGCCATCTTTTAAAATGATACTTACGAGATGAAATGAATCTGACCCGAGTCCAACAACTTGCAGAAACTTGAGGTGAAGTGTAAGATATATGTCCAAAAAGTGTCCAAGGAGTGTCGGACACGGATACGGGAAGTGTCGGACACGGATATGGGAACCGGACGAAGTATCTGGGTAACCTAGTCCTAAACAATGTCTTTGGCACAAAAATAACTACGAGTTTATGCATAAAACATGCATGGGCCATAATTTCTCTTTTTTGTACATTGTTGGTAGCGTGGATATTTCAATTTGCGTTATATTTGTGGGTACATTCCCTGTACAAGGGTATAACCACTTACGCCTCCTAAAATATTTTATTAGCACTTAAACCCTTGAAGTCCAAAGTCCAGAACAGTATAAGTTTCTTGTCTTTTCCCATTAGATTAATATATCACATGGTCACATGATGATAGATTACCTTTTTCCTTTTTGAGTTCAAGTGAAAAAAAAAATTGCCCTTTGAATTGATGGGTAAATAATGTCATTTGACTTTTTGGAGGTTTAAGTGCTTTAAAAAAATAGTTATGGCACCCTCATAGCCCATAGGGCAATGCGCGTATATGCAATTAACCCTTTTGATGTTTTCGTACACATAACATGTATTTGGTTATATATTGCAGTAAAAGAAGTGAGAGGAGCGAAGAGAATTGGATGACTAGAAACAAGTGGTCTAGCATTGTTTATAGAAGAGGGCAGAAACAGCTCACCAGCTCATTCTTGAAAGAGGCAGAACATGCTCTTGAACTCTGTATCAATGAACAACGATAACGATGAGAAGCTGATGAGAATTCATCTCGACGTTTGGATAAATGTTGGTGTCATTTTCTTTTTCCCCCCAAATTTTCTGATATTTGTAATAATTTGGCTAGCCCAATTTTGTAGTTATTTGTATATCAATAAAGTCAGGCACACAACCGAGACTGCAGTTTTTTTTCTCTAATGAACGGAATATAGCGGTGTATTGGTTTGTCTAACTTATGTTTACCTTGTTCTTAATGCTTCTCCTATTGGTCAGTTAAAATACAATTGCTATGAAATTACATTATCAAATATGAATTCTGAAATTTCCTGGGCTGGCATTTGATTCAAAGCATCTGTTGCGCAATAAAATGATAGTTGGGACTAACTTGAGATATGCCACAAGCTTTAGAGCGCATTTGACAACTTGGTCAGAGTGGATTATAGTCCGCCTTTTGGGTTAATAATCCATTTTGTGTTTAATAACCACGTTATAGAGTGCGTTATTTTGGATTGTGTAATTCAGTGAAAAAGTGTTGGAGGCCCCATTTTCTTAAATGAAATGTGTCTCAGTTGCAAGATTTAGTTTTTGGAGTTTCAACCCTAAAAAGTGCAAAACAAATGTGTTTTAGCTCCTCCTCTTTATTTCCTTTTATAAAAAATCCCTAAAATCATCGCCCAATTTGAAGAGTACATCTTTGTAGCGATCTTTTAGAAAGATCTCATTCAAGAACAGAAGAGGCCAATGTCTAGCAACAAAGCCTTGAATGCAGACACTATAACATAACCGACCATCAAGCTCATCAATGGCAATGTAACATCTTGGATTGGTCTCTTTTACCATGGGTTCATACTTTAAGACGAAACCTACTTTATCTGATACGAAGCACATAAATCCAAGAGGAGACCGCCACCAAGTCACAGAATCACAAGCAAATGAGGAGAGGAGAGAGAAAAAAATCACCGGGTTGCAAACATAAAGTGGTACAAATCCAGGAGCACCCGTCACCGTTACAACGATCAGGTAAGCCAACAGAACCGCAATTTCGAAACTGGACTTTTTACACCACCAAAAACAAAAACAAAAACAAGAGCCCCAGACAACGCCCTAACCGCCGAAGCCGTAGAGGGTCCTTCCCTGGCGCTTGAGGGCGTAGACGACGTCCATGGCGGTGACGGTCTTGCGCCTGGCGTGCTCCGTGTAGGTGACGGCGTCCCTGATGACGTTCTCGAGGAAGATCTTGAGCACGCCGCGCGTCTCCTCGTAGATCAGACCGCTGATGCGCTTCACGCCACCGCGCCGGGCCAGGCGGCGGATGGCCGGCTTCGTGATCCCTGGATGTTGTCCCTCAGCACCTTCCGGTGGCGCTTCGCCCCGCCCTTCCCCTTCAGGCCCTTCCTCCCTTCCCCCGCCCCGACATCGCTCCCGCTCTTGATTGATTCGGACTGCAGCGGCTGGCTTTCGGATTTGATTCCGATTCGATCCGATCCGATTGGAGGGTGATGGAGGGTTAGGGCTCTGGGTCTGGGGATTTTTATAGAGGGAGAAAGAGTGGGGTTTCGAATAGGGGAGGGGCTCGGAAAATTTTCGGGGGTGAAGAGGTGGGGATCCGTGTGTCGATGGATGGGATCGGTTGGGTTTTGGATTGACGGTCGAGATCTGTTTTATACGGTTGGCGCGGATCGATGAGCTGGCAGCGGAAAGTCAGTGGTCGAGATCTGTTTTATATGATTTGTTGTTTTTTCATCTTTAAAAAAAGAACAATTTTTCAAAACCGCCTGATTTTTTTTTTTTTTTCCAAAACCGACTGTTTTTTTTTTTTTTTTTCAAAATCGACCTTTATTTATCAAAATCGACCCGGTTTTGTGATTAGCAGGCTAATCACTATCTTAAATAGTCGGGGTTGGCAACCCCGACTATTTAGGATAGTGATTAACATGCTAATCACCCTTTAATTAGGGTTTAACCCCCTCCTAAATAGTCGGGGTTGGCAACCCCGACTATTTAGGATAGTCATTAACCTGCTAATCACAAAACCGGGTCGGTTTTGATAAATAAAAAAAAAACAGTCGGTTTTGAAAAAAAAAAAAAAAATTCAGGCGGTTTTGAAAAATTGTTCTTAAAAAAAATGCATGTCCCCTTACATCAATAATCTTATTCAAATCAATTGATAGCTTCACAGTCACGCTCAAGACGAAATTGTTTACGCTGTTGAGCCAATAGTTGATTGCGTTGTTCTAATCGTACACCACGTTGATCTAACTTTTTCTTATCATTTTCTAATTTCATCGTCATTAGTTGTTGCATGGTTTCCCTTCCAAGCTCACGTTTTTCCTGTATTTTCTTTGATATTCTTAAGAATATCAACATCACACTCAGATGGGAGAGAGGATCTTTCCCTTCGCTCAAGACCAAATTTGTCTTTTTTATGATTTTATAAACAATTACTTATTACTTTCATATTTTTTTAATTAGTAACTAATAATTTAAAATCAACATAAGTTTATTTCTACTAATTATTTTTAAATAAAAATTTTACAGTTGAAAATGTCTTTGTCGATACCTTCAAAATGAGACTAAAATTGAATAATATTAATTAAAATATAAAATTCCAAGAACCAAGTAATTAAAAATGAAAATGTATTAGAAAATTAGATGGAAGATAAACATACTAATATTAAAATACATCGAAACTTTAATTAAAAAAGTTACATCGTTTCATTTCCATGTCTTCCCCAAAAATGTTCAATCAATGCATTTCAAAGTGCAAAATGAGCTTCTTTATTTTTCAACTTCTTATGTCGAGCAAGGAACCGTTGGAATCGTTCAGTTTTGGTTATCTTCATATTTTCAGCATTCAGAATTGATTGTGGAGTTAAAATTACAACATCTTCTTGCTCGTCGCATTTATCTTCGACAATCATACTGTGCATTATAATACAAGTAATCATGATATCATGCACAGTTCGTTTATCCCAAAAACGGGTTGGCCCATTGATGATAGCAAATCGTGATTAGAGAACATCGAATGTCCGCTCCACATCTTTTCAACACGCTTCTTGCTCATTGCAAAATATTGTTTCTTTTTATCATTGAAATTGGAAATGGTTTGAACAAGTGTTGGCCATTTCGGATATATGCCATCGGCCAAATAATAACCGACATCATAATTTTTTTTCTTGAATTGTGGAATGAGCAGGAGGAGAAATATCTTATGATAGATTGTCGAACAAATTAGACGACTGCAATACATTAATATCGTTATTGGATCCTGGTAAGCCAAAGTATGTGTGTCATATCCATAGATCATATGATGTTACTACCTCAAGAATAATGGTTGGACATCCATGACGTCCCGAGTATTGTCCTGCCCATGCTGTTGGACAAATTTTTTATTGCTAATGCATACAATATAGACTTTTCAACATTCCTGAAAAACTTCTTTCTTCGCCCTTGTGCAATAACCTTGCAACATCATCGACGTTGGGGGTTCTCAGATATTCATCTCCATATACTTCTACAATTGCTCTGCAAAATCGCTTTAAACATACAATTATAGTTGACTCACCGATTCTAACATATTCATCAGTACTATCTACTGATGTTCCATACGCCAACATGCGAAATGCCACTGTTACTTTTTGTAAAGTTGATATCCCAAGTTTGCCGACACCATCAATCTTCTGTACGAAGAAGTTATCATGCTCGCGTACCGCCTCGACTATACGAATGAATAAACTCATTTGCATCCGGAACCTTCTACGGAATAGATTTGTGTCATATGTAGGATTATCAAAAAAAATAGTCAATGTAGAGTCGAGAATTACCTTATTCCCTCCCGCGATTGATCACCAAATGACCAGGAACTGAGCCAATACGCTTTGGCCGCTCTGCCTCTTAAGAGAGATAAGTCATTATTTCATTATTAGAGGCATATATGCGAGCTAAGATTTCATCTTCTCCTATTGTGTCATATCTTCCTCCCAGTTTTTAATGTACCGAGAAAATGTTTCATCGTCGTTAGAAGAAGAAGAATGTATATGTGACGGTCCAGCTCCATATTCATTGTTGAAGAAGTTGTTTATAGGAATAAAAATATAAGTTGTGAATTTGTTTAGAGATGGATGTAATGTCATTATATAATATTTCTCCCTGTATAGGATTCTTTTCAGCATTGGATTCTCTCCAGCATTGGATTATCTCTGTGTTGGATTCTCCCCCACATTGGATTCCTTCCGTGTTGGAGTCTACCCACATTGGATCCTCTCCGTGTTGGAGTCTCCATGCACTGGATTCCTGCCAGCATAGAGTCTCCCCACATTAGATTCCTGCTAACATTAGATTCCTTACGTGTTAGAGACTCCCCACATTAGATTCCTTTTGTGTTGGAGACTCCCCATATTGGATTCTCCTAGAGTTGGAGACTCCCTTCATTAGATTCCTTCTGTGTTGGAGATTCCCCACATTGGATTCCTTTTACGTTGGAGACTCCCCACATTAGATTCTCCTCGCATTGGTTTCTCCTCAGTAATGATTTCTACCTGAAGTATCTCTATAAATACTTGCACAATTTTCATATCTCCACCACAACTCTTCTTTTTCTATATTCATAACTCTTTGCATTCCTCCATCATAATAGTATCATCCTCAACAACTTTATCTTCTTAGATTATGGCATCAAGTCGCGGAAAATATTTTTTACAAAAAGAAGACCAAATTTTATGTGCCACGTGGCTCGAAATTTCTCAAGATACAGTCATGGGCTCTAATCAAAAGAATGACAAGCTGTGGGAATGAATTTCTGCTTTATTTCATGAAAGGATTTCCAATATTTGTACTGCTCAAAGGACTCTGAAGTCTCTCTCATGCGGAATGCAATTAATTATAAAGGCCATCAGTAAATTTCGAGGATGCATTCGACAAGTTGAGCACCTAAATCTAAGCGGTGCTTCTGATCTTGACATTGTAAGTATTTGAATAACAAAAATCTTGATTATTAACATCTATTATCATGTTATTAATACTTGTTTCTTCCTCTTTTGTGGTAGATTAAAGTCACAAGTAAAGGAGTTTGCCTTTGATTGGAGGTGACGAAGGAAATCTTGGAATTCATGAATTTGTTCATTTATGGGTTTGTCATCAACTATCATGAACTTATTGAAGGAAGAGGAGGTGAAACGCAGAATTCCGGCATCATCATAGCCATATTCTGCTTTAAGAGCATTTCATAGGTCCT